TCCTATATGTGAGACCTTTCTTGAAGTACTCGACGTTCGCGAAGTGCAATGGACCGCAAAACTGGTATATCTTTATGGCGTTCACCTCGTGAGCCGAGGCATACTTCTTCAGCGGCACGTAGACATCAGACTTGTCAATGGATCCCAATAAGTAGGTCTTAGGCCTGAATTTGGGTAAACAAACAAGTTGAATTGATAAGGAGATTAAAATAAATTATTAAACACCAGCTATACCTCTGAGACTTATAAATGAGTGTGATCAGCGAGTAGGCGAGACCAACGTATAAGCCAATGTCCACGTTCAGTATTATCACAGCTAGGAATGTGACGATCCATATGGACTGGTAGCAAAAGTGACCCAGATAATTGGTTAGTACAAACCTACTACATGTTATAATTCTTGACAAATAATAGCGTGTAATACATACCCCGTCGAGTTTATTGACTCTACAATATCTGTAGACATCAAAGATCTGTGCAAACAGTGTCTTGAGAGCCACGCATATAATCGCCGCCAAAACGCACTGAATATCAGATAATTATAAATTCCTATATGTGAGACCTTTCTTGAAGTACTCGACGTTCGCGAAGTGCAATGGACCGCAAAACTGGTATATCTTTATGGCGTTCACCTCGTGAGCCGAGGCATACTTCTTCAGCGGCACGTAGACATCGGACTTGTCAATGGATCCCAATAAGTAGGTCTTAGGCCTGAATTTGAGTAAATAAACAAGTTGAATTGATAAGGAGATTAAAATAAATTATTAAACACCAGCTATACCTCTGAGACTTATAAATAAGTGTGATCAGCGAGTAGGCGAGACCGACGTATAAGCCAATGTCCACGTTCAGTATTATCACAGCTAGGAATGTGACGATCCATATGGACTGGTAGTAAAAGTGACCCAGATAATTGGTTAGTACAAACCTACTGCATGTTATAATTATTGACAAATAATAGCGTGCAATACATACCCCGTCGAGTTTATTGACTCTACAATATCTGTAGACATCAAAGATCTGTGCAAACAGTGTCTTGAGAGCCACGCATATAATCGCCGCCAAAACGCACTGAATATCAGATAATTATAAAAATTATTTCATAACTGAAACCAAAAAACGTTTTTTTATCTCACATTTGGAAGATTTTCGAGATATTGACCAAAGAATAAGAGCACAAACAATATGCCGGCGCTGTTGACAATACTAGCCATCTGTGTGCGTCCGCCCACCGCCTCCTGAACCGCACTCCTCGACAATGAGGCAGCCGTTGGCAGACACGAGAAGAATGAGCTGAAGATATTAGTGGTGCCGATGGCCAGCAGCTCCTGATTGGAGTTGATTTCATAGTTGTGTTTCGTGGCAAATGTCTTTCCCGTTGAATAAGTGATAGCGTAGGCGACGATAGCCAATGGTATGCACCGGAGCCATAGCTTCGGCAGTAGCGACCACTCGGGCGATATGGGTGAGGGTAGGCCTGTGGCGATCGCGCCCACCGTTTCGATGTCTGGCTTGAAGAATGAGGTCATAACGGTGCTGCCCACCACCAGCACCAGTTCGATGGGGAACGGGATGTTCAGTTTGGTCCATTGTTTGAGCTTATCGTTGAGGTACAGCTTAAACAGTAATAGTATGGCAATACAGATGAGGGACACCAGTAGTGATATAGTGTTGGCCATAGAGATCGAGCCGAAGAACTCTTTGTACGTATGAAACAGAGATAACGGGCCGCTATGGGAGTGGAGGTGGAGGCCAGACATGTAACCGATTTGTGAGGTCAACACATAGAATGATGAGGCGGTTATGAAACTACTGATCAACTGCTCGGACATATAGACCGAGACAAAGCCCATACGAAATATACCAAACAATAGCTGATATATGCCTATCAGTAGCGCAATCATTGATGCCATTTGTATGTTTGAGTATTGCCTTTGAACTGATCCGGGTGTTGTTGATCCGTTG